CACACTTCCAATTCCCATCAACAGGTTTCAGTATCTTTAATGGGATTATTAATGCAGTAATTTCTGCAAACTAGTTTCCTGCGCTTAGCCATTTTATAACAGTTCTACATGAACCCAATGATGTTGATTGTTGCAATCAACAAATACTCTGCTCATACAGGCTAATAATTCTTTCAGTTATACATAACAATTAGTTATTCTCTATTAGAACCCTAAATAGATTACAGCTTAGAAACTCCTTTTTTTTCCCTTCACAAAATCAAACACAGCTTTTTAGGAAGAGATGTCACAGGTAACTATAGCCAGTGGCTTAGGAAGTTCTCTGATTTGATTTTATGCACTATCAGGAAAAAAAGGATGCTTTTTGCTACTCACAAAATACAAACTTACCTTCCCACACGCTCTGCAATGATGCCTTCTTTTGGTGAATGTAAATCTGGCCTCGCATTTCATACAGTTCGGTGCTTGAGAATCTGGAACCCAAACTGGAGCCACCTCACCCAAAGTCGTAAAAGGCTTTCTGGCTGGAGCTCCAAACTGACCAGCTCTGAGATCATTATCTGGACTATCTGGGGCTACTGCAAGGCACGGACTACTAGAGACTCCAGATTCATACTCTTCCAAATGTTCCCCATTAGTATCAGTAACAGAGGCATTTAAAGATGTTTCACCAGGAAACGCGTCTGTATCCCCTAATTGTGTTTTACCAAAGACGTTTTTGTTTTTGCTATTACCTCCACAATTTGGGGGAACAAGATCATTTTGTAAGTGGTCTGATAATGGCTTCGGAATCTGCAGTTTAAGATTTGTAGGTTGTTTAGGTCTTGCACCACCAAAAGGAACACTGATAGATTGCAGATTAGTCACTGGTTTTGGTGAAGCTTGCCCTTGCATGGATGAAACCTGACTACAAAGATTATGTAAATAATTTTTCTTTATGTGGTCACCAGTGCTGTTTAAAATAAGACCGCTCACTTCTGTGGTCTCATTTCCCCTCTGTTCATAAACATTAGCGTAACATTCTGATTTGCTCTCCTCTATCTCCTTTTCCTCTGTTACTGAGTCTTCCTTGGAGGGTAAAGTCTTTGGAACATGAGCAACAACTGGGTTCTGCATTCCATAGGAATCACAACCATTAGACAGAGAGCTTGCTGCTGATGTAGCCACCACATCAGAGAGACTGGACCCTTCAAGCTCATCTATACTAGTTCCTTTTAAGTCTATGCCTGCCTCCATCATCCCATCTCCACCATCTTTACTATTACTACATGCCTCATCAGGCTGTTTTGCCTGCAAAAGTCTTTCATTCTCTCCCAGAGTTTGCTTATTATTCATCTCATTCAACTTAGTCAGTTCCCAATTAGTCATCTCCTGAGATTCAGGGTAACACTCTACCATGCTGAGCAACTCCGTTGTGCCAAGATTTTTATCACATTCAATGACTTCGCTTTCAGTGGCACTAACATCCTCCGGGGCAAAATGTTCTGCAACACGTTCCTTGTAATTGCCACTTCCAGCCACATTAGGTTGACAAGTTTCAGTGAGCCCAGATAGCCTAGACTGTAACTGTTGGGTTGTTTCCTGTTCTGCAATTAAGCTTCCATTACTTGAACCAGAAGAAGAGTTTTTAGCTTCTAGGTCCGTTCTCTGAGGAATGGCTTTACTAGTAAAATTTTCAACAGATACACAATTTTCTTGCATTTTAACAGTACCATCAACGGGTCTCTGTAACAGAGTCACTGCATTTATCCCTGCAGTTGTAGCTTCTGAAAACGGTGAATCTTTACTCATATTAAAATCATCCTTTAATCGAGAGGAGGGGCATGCAATGGTCAGGCTTTCAGATGAAGCATTAATCAAATGACTTACAGAGTCATCTTCAGTGCACAGCTGATTTACTTGCTTTTCTGTATCTGTATCTTTTTCTGTGGATCCATTTACAGTAACACTAAACTGATCACTCTGACGGTTTTCATTATCCAGTGTAAAGCTAATAGTGTCCATTAGGGACTGACTGTTGTAATTTTTACAATCCAGCAAATCGCCACTTTGTAGTGTTCTTCTGTCACAGTTATGCATGACTGCCACCACTAGTACATTTTTCTCCTCTGGCAAGCAAGCTGTATTTCCACATTTCTTTTCTCCTGTTTCCACAGTGCTACACTGATCATCCCGATTACTATTTCTTTTAATCAATTGATCATCTGCTGCTGCCTGATCATCAATCCACATGACTGGGGTCTCTGGGCTTATGCCAAAATCCTTTCCATTAGCACAGTGACCCCCTCCTCCTGTTGGTGTAGTCACTGAATGAGACAAGGAGAAAGACTTTAATCTCTGTTGACATTCATTAGGAGTTGTAGCTTCATTCACATTGGCCACGGTTGGGTTAAATGACAGACGACGAGAAGGTGGATCTAGAATCTGATTCCACTTTGCACCCAAGAGTGTAGGTGAAACAGCGGCATCTGAAAAAGTGTTTAAATAAGAGAACTTACTGTCTTATTAAAGCTACAGGTTCTATTAACTCTGTTGCTTTAGAATACCCCAAATATAAATGTAGAGATGTTCAAATATGGACACTAGAGTAAAACACATCTGCCATAACTAACATCCTTGATCAACCATTACTAGTGTAATGGCATAATGCTTCCAGAACTCAAGACATTTAGAGCTACACCAATTAGTATCAGGTTGAATTTGCACAAGCAACTTTAAACTATTGATTAATATACTTCAGACAGCTAGAAATGCCTAGGAAGATTCCCACTCCCATAAAATGTTCAACTTCCTTGACAGCACAGAAGTAGCAATTAGACTAAGCAAAAAATGTAATACTTCAAATATGATAACTTTCACTATATGATTTATGTGACCTAATAAAACACTTCTATGCTCGAGTCTCACAAAACTGCAAAGGAAGCTTAAAATAAGTTTTGCCTGATTTGTTTAAAATAAATTATTAAAATATTGCCACTGAGATTAAGCTTCACAAAACCTTTCTTTAAAAAGTGTACAGAAGATTTTCTATTAGAGAAAATTTTAAAAGTAAACAACATGAATGGAAACAGAAGAGAATACTACTAAAAAATAATGAAGACACACCATGCAAAATTAACAGATGTTTTTTGCAAGTTCAGAGACTAATTTACAACTCAGAACCAAGAAGGGTTATCACAGATCTCTCCCTCTTCAATCGTGTTCTCTGGGGAATACATATAATGTGCACCTACAGTCTTGTTCAAAATTACTCACCTTCGTTTTGCTCAAATTCATCTAAAACCTTATCGAGGTTATATGCCTCTGCTTGGAAATAGTTCTCCATTTGTCAGGGAAAGACCACCAGATTCTTGTCTGAACCTGCCAGAGAACAAATTACAACCAGATATTTAACCATCAGTCAGCAGTGTTCCACTACATATTGCCCTGATTTAAAGGGAAAAGAAGTGCTTTAAAATCAAATTTTATATGCATTACATGCATAAATCAAAAATATTTTCCAGGAATAAAAAAATATCTGTGTGCTTAAACTTGATTAATTCAGATTAACAACCTTCCCAAACTTGCTTTGGATTTTATTACCTCCAGTCTTCTGCTCCAACCCCAGCTGGAAAATAACAGTCTAGAGAACCAGAAAGTCAACTAACAATCTGAAGATCCAGCTTTCAGTTCCATGCTACCATCAATTAGCTCATGTGGCTTTGAACAAGTAGTTTAAACTCTCCATGCTTCTGATTTTTTAATGTATACTAGGCTAGCAGTATTCTGTGTCACTCTCATTTCCCAGAGATGCTTCAAAGATCCATACTTGTAAAAGTTGTTACAGGACTTAATGGGTGTTACGTGAATGGTGCTAGCTCTTAAAATGCCTGCTTTAATAATCCTTGTTTTCCTGAAAGGCAGGCACTGGAAATCTAGCAAAATGTACAGAAGTAAATAGTCTCATCAAAAGATAATGCTCTCAGGCTAGAAAGGAAGATGACAAGAGAGAAATGAAAAAAAAAAAAACAACCGACCCTAAGTCATTAAATAACTTTCTACAACTTTGCATAATAAATAACATTTTCACCCTAACACTAGGAATATGGTCTTCTTGCTACCAATGGCTCGTAGTAACAAGACACCCTGATTCATTTTTTAAAAACATTCACTACCAGCAAAGACATTTTCACCGAGAAATGTGTGCCATAACCTATATACCATAAAGAGAGACCTTGATTTGATCTGTTCTCTGAACATCCTCCAAAACAGCCTTATTCTCTTCAGAGCTAGCTTTCAATGTTGTGAAATAAGGAAATGGAGGAGGGTGAGAACCTTCTTTTGCAGTAAGAAACAGTGTTAGACCTGACAGCTAGACTCCAGCTCAATTAAAAACCTGCTCTTTTACACTAGAGATAGAACAGACAAGAAACACATCAGAGGAAGTTTGCAATTTAAAACTATACTTTACTTTAACATTACCCCCACAGTATCTGGATTTGAGGAAAACATCAACCATTTTTATTTCAATTACTACAACATTAAATATAGTTTTGTGTTTATTGTGGGCAACAGCTAAAATTAGGTTATAGGTACAAAAAGATCATGCATTAAAATATCACAAAATGCAGAGTTCAAGTTTTTAAGGTTGACCTCAAATTTGACACACTTTGTTTTTAAAAGACAATCATGTTACAACATGAATACATTGCTATTTAATATAATGAGATTAAATCATGTTTTAAAGATATATACAAAAGCCAATTTTAAAGAAAATTAGTTAACAGCAACTTGGAAATAGCAATAAACGTCACCAAAAAAAAGACCATTTTCAAAGAAATTCAGAGATAAACTAAACTTGTCACCTTACAAACTCCCACATTTGTCCTCTGTTCTGGGATTTTAGATTAACTCCTTCTGCAAGGAAAATAGATGACTGGCCTTATTATTTACTGTACACAGATGCACAGATTATAATATAAGCAATGGAAAAGCTGGCCACCGTGATCAAAGGTTGAATTTCAGAAGTCTAAAAAAGCTTAACACTTTACAACCTCTACGAAAAGCCAGGTTCTGACCTTTAACTGTGACAGAGTGTACTCTTTGATCCCATAGATACCTACTGTAAGGTCTTCCTGAGTTATCTAATCCACCCAAGTCATTGTATTAAAAATCTTTCATACCATTTTAACTGAAACAATTACATTTACTACACACATCTCAACTAAACCAAAATAATTTTAAAAAGCAGATGCTTCTCCTTAGACATACAAATACTAAATTCATTCAATCTACATCCAAACTGTGGGAGTTTGGAGGTTCTCTTGCACCTTTCTCTCCATTTCAACTCCTTAACAGGAAGCATCTTTACCAGCTTTGTGAATATCAAATATTGAAAAATTAATTAGAATCTGTCCCAATTAATATTTTGCTTGAATTTTGTTTTCCATTCAGAGTTCTAAACATCAACCAAAATTAATTCACTATAGTAAGTATATGGTACAAAATACCATATAATGTCACATCCATTTATAATGTATTTAATTTACATTATAATGATAACATTCCGGTCTAGCAAACAATTGATGAAGATGTGAATAATTATTCCTAGGCAAAGTCCTACTACTAAGGTCAATGTTGCAAAGAGTATTTGTCAATGAAGCACTGCAAGACTGAAAAATGTCATACGAAATTTTTGTCTTCAAGAGTTAAATTGTGACACTGTCTGAAGCCACCACACTCAAGATTTCCAGGCACTTTCATAGTGAAAAACGGCATGCAGTCAATGCATTAGCTAGGACCTAAACACAAACTCTGCAGTATGGGTAGCCCCAAAGAAATAGGCTACAAGCATTGATATTTTTTTTTGTTTTGCTTATTTTAGAGAAGATAATGATTACTGACAAGCAAGTTGATAGGGAAGGAATGCTATGCTGATTACACAGTTGCTGAAAATACGTTTTTAAGTGACTCTTTGGACAACTGCATTTTGATTTTGTATAACTTCAAACGTTTAGAAAAATTCAGACCTGACCATTCTTACAACCTGACTGAAAGCCTGCTAAAATTACTTTAGAACTAACTCAAATTTATGCTCATTGGATTAAGTAGAATAAAAGCCACATTTGCCCTTAACATTTCCTAAATCTAGTCCTGTATTAGCTGTCTTTTCATTATCGTACAAATAAGGAACAAGATATACCTAACCAAAGAAAGCACTGTTAGAAGTTCATAATAAATATAATAATTTTTACTGACTTTAGTCAGGGTTTGGCTTTTAAATTTTATATTAAGTGTGATTTTATAACATTAGAAAAATACAAATATTCAGACTTAGGAGACCACGTTTAACAATAACAAGGGCATATAAAAAAGACTTAGAATTTTGTTCCTACCCCCTTACAATCCCAATGTGGTTAATACTTCATAGCATCTCTGTGAAATTATTATTTTTTAACACCTGTATTATCTAATATTAAATATCTAATATGTGTGAGTTTAAATTTGTTCCAATATGACAGAGGGATTTTTGCTATGTTTTTAAAAATTCTAAGTAGAGAGAACGATGTGTAAACAAATATATGTAGCCATATGAATTCTGAAGCTCAAATACTGATGCACAAACATGCAATGGGCCAAAATCCAGACTGATGGATGCTCATAGTCCGAACTGAAGAGAGAAAAAGACCTTTTATATCATTATTGTTATTTCACTTAACTGATATACCAGGATATATGAAGAATCTTTTCTTTTTAAACTCACAGTCACTAAGCTGACAGACACTCATTGTCTATGCAAGTAGGTATTTCTCAGAAGAGGTCAGCTGCAAATCTTCAGATCTAACTTCTAAATTTATTGTTATTATTATTATATAAAAGAACACAACTACCCCAAGCTTTTCCAGAAGTTTCTGTCCAATGGCAAAACACACTGCCAAATCCACAAAAGTCCTTACTGCCCTCTTCCTGAAAGAAAAGGAGGATGAATACTCATGTTCCTAACAGATACCCACAATGCTTCTTGACTAATACATTGTCAGCAACTCATACTGTTGCCAGTTTAAGATCTAATACTTCAACTCTGCATAGCCAGCAACTCAAGATCAAAACAGAAAACACAAAATGCTCTAACACAGCATGCTATAATAATAGGGTAGCTGTTTTCCCCATGGTTTAGAATTTAATTTTATTTTGAGTATTCTTATGAAATATCCAACATAAAAAAAAGGAAACATATTCCTTTACAGGTCTTTGGAAACTTTGATTGTAACTCACAGGTACCACTACAAAAGTTTGGAACAGTTTTAGAATTATTCTAGTCCCAAACTTCCTCCTAATATAAAGGTTGAAATGACATTTTTAAAGGATCCTTGATAGTTGTGAAACTCTTTACTACTGCTGAACTATTCCAAGCCATGGCATGGAAAGAAGCTGACGAGCAAACACACAACTTAAACTCTGGAAAAGTGACAATAAAAACATGAGCAAATCAAGAAGAAATTTCAACGGCAATTTTAGCTGTATGCAGCCAAAAAGCAGACACTTCCTAAATTAGTATATATGGGATAAGCAATATGAAGAAGAGGATATTGTGCCAGTGCAAGGAAAAGGAGACATAAATCACCAATCCAGTGAAAAGCGTAAGATTTTTTTTCAAAAATGCAGTCCTCCATGCAAAGATTTGGAAGAAAAGACTAATTATAGGCAAAACCCCCTATTAAATAGCATTTTTTTTTAAATTCTGTATCCAAAAAGAATAATACAATGGCTACCAACCACTGCTACAGTAAGTCCAGAACCCAAGATCACTTGTTATCCATTGCAGAGTCATCTTCTGTCTTTTATGGCAAAAAGCTAACAAAAACATATAGCCTGTCAATCAGATTATTTTCAAGCTCCTGTTAGATCACAGATCATGCATAATTCAGAAACTCTGTGTTTTGCTTATAAGTTTCTTCATACAACAGCATGGACTTATCTTTATCTCTAAAACTTAAGAACGTCTGTTTTATCAAGCTTACATGCTCTACTCTCCCCTAATGTCTAAATATAAAGGTGCATAAACCAGATTGCTTGTGTCTTATGTATCCATAATTACTATCCTAGTCATCATAGCATTTAGACATAATACAAACTTTAATTTATTAGTGGGGAGGGAAGGAGACAGAAGTAAAGGCAGAAAAACCTTCCTTAAAATTAGATGGTATTCTAAACAGGCTTAACCTTGGATACTGCCTTTCAAGACAGCTCAGATATCCCACATGCCAGCTTCTTCTTGGGAAATGGACTGTGCAAAGAAATAGGCCTTATGTTACACCTGCAAAGCAGCAAGACTCATATTTGGTTTGGTCTCTACAATAAGGAATTATATAACCCATGATCTTCTGCACTGCACGTCCTAAATATCCGTCAAGATTTTTTTCACCACTGGAGCTGACAGCCTTAAGTCTTTCAGATTTTCTTGACTCCAGCAGTGAATGACCAGCACACAATCATATTAAAACGCTATAATAAAAAATGCACCAAAAAGAAATTATACCAATGTACAACTATGAGCCTCATAGCAAAGGCCTAAAAATCAGAGAGTATGTTAAGAACTAGAATAACATCTCATGACTTTCTACCATGTTGTCCTGTATAGACTACTCTTTCAATATGAAACTGTGAATATACACGTTTCAGTAAACTCTTACTAAACAAGACAGTCAAGTAGTTTATTACAGTCCTCACCAAAAATATGTATGAAAGACTCCTAAGATGAAAGTCACAAGGGGCATGATCAAACTGAAACCAAACATTGCTCATTCTTCCTGATAAAAATCAGACACCCAGAAAATGTCATTTTCCCATAGCATGACAACATGGAATTACGTATCAACTGGACAAATTAATGTATTAGATCTAGTGCTCCTGAGGACTTCCTTCAACCCCAAGAAACAACAGTCAAGTCCACATATTGTTCCAGCTCCCTTTAGTGATCTTTGTATTATTTGCCCCCAGGAGAAGGAAGTCAAGCACTTTTGATGTAATGAACAGCCTGTTCAGAGAGTCCAGCAATAGCTATATTTTTAACTGATGAGATCTGCCCACAGCACAGACTGAGGAAGAAAGACTTTGCCCACTTCCCCCCACCGCCCCCAAACAAAATAAGACACATCTTTGCTCTAAAACAAGGCAATTACTCTCAATGAAAACCAAAACAACAAAATGCTAAAAATACTCCATCATCTTCTATACAAGATATATAACCATATATGGAGGTGTATGTATATAAATATATATCCATAAGCATACATAAAAATACATGCATTTCAAGTACATACCCCGAATCATTATATTCTAAAGCAGAACTTGCCTCTTACCTTTTTCTCTTATACATATGTTAAGAAACGAATGACCCTGTGCCTACTCATGACGACTGCAGCACAACCAGCCAGTTCTGCTGAATCAGTGCATTCTACTTGATCCTAGAAAGAAAATATAAACATGTATTTTATGATTGGTAATTTTGCCACAAACCATGTTTTTGCAACACATGACTGCAGCTAGCACAGGCACATTTGGCAAATGCTGCAAGCCTTCAAATTATTTGGAATAGATTTCCAGCTTGAAATTCAGGGATCTATGCACTATGCCACTATTGCACTCCAATATTCTGGTGAAAAAAGCTACTAATAAAGAACACATTGCTACTATTATTCTTCCTTTAACTATAAACCCACAGAGTGAGGCAGCAACTTCAACTGTCCTTGTATTCCTGATGACCTTGACTGTAACAATTTATAAAACTAGCTTCTGAAGTTAATTATATTAGATTACAATAGGCCTTCCAAAAATAAAGAGCTAGTGGCTTTGATACTCAACAAAAATTCATGGCCCTCTGAATTCTGTAAACTGTATTCATCAGCTTCCCACTGATTTTGTTACAGCTAAAAAACTGGTTTTGTCTTCAAATTATTCCCCCTAAAATCTTAGGCTCCCTTCGTTTCCCAAAGGCTTTTTCTCTCAAAAACCACAATGCCATCAACCTTCAACAGCAAGGAGGACCCAAGCAAAAAAAGAGTCGTCAGAAGAAAATGTCTTGTTCTCCTAACTACAGCATTTCTATAGGTCAGGTGCTCATTTTCACAGGCTGCATCCAAACAGTCAACATAGCTCGAAAATCCAACACAGCCATGAGCAAAGAAGAGAGATGAGTTTATGACAAACAGTGCAACAAGAACAAGGAGTGAGATGAGTTAAATACATGTTTTAAGGTTTGCTGATGCTGGTGTTTGACCTGTTAGGTAGTTGAAATATTTATTAGTGCTCTGACAAAGCAGAAGCATATGTTAGAAAAAAAAATAAATCTTAAAATTCCTGCAAAACAAACAGAGCTTGAAAAAAAAAAAAAATCAGTTCTCCGTTCATGAAAGCGATATTCAGTGTTATACTACAATTTACAATTTTCCCAGGGTTGTTTATTATTCTTTTCAGAAATAAGCTACAGTAATAATTCCAGGAAACTAATGAACTGAACAGTAGCACTCCTAGTAGTACTGTTTCCAAACTCAGAATAAAATCCCACAGCTTTGTATGCCAACAGAACTGTTTCTGTATGAAAGTAAAATTTCTGATGCCATGTATATTTTTACCTCTTTAAGCTAAGATGAATTTTGCATATTTGTGAAATAATAGAAAATATTATACTACAAAGTTCTTTGGATAGGCTTCATATGCTTGCAAAAATGGAAGCGAGGGAAATTTAATTCCACTGAGAAGCTTTAGAATGATAAGCTTTTCCATAGAGATGTGAAGTACACGTGGCAGTGGGCAAGGTTATCTGTACCATCACCATGTTCCCTCCTGGCCTGTAGGTGGAGGAAAATGATTCCGTTTTCATTACCCTTTTGAAAAGGTGGATCAATTAATTACAATTCTGTTTGAGATTTATGACAAGGCCTGTCAACTGCATCATGAACATCAAACACATTTCACATGAACCAGGCGGTCATATGTTAACCACAAAGTTCAATCTTTACCTATCAGAAACGGATCAGACCTAGCGACCTACAGCTGAAACATGCTGTGCTGTTACGAACACTTTAAGCCAACAAGCATTCTAGGCAAGCAATATTCAGGGCAACATTACAGCTTTACTATTCATTGTTTTTATTCTGATCCACTTTCCTTGTTCCATTCTTCAAAGGTAATAACTTTTTCGTCTGTAATCATTCAACACAGAAGAACAGAGATCCAATCAATCGCCACCAGTTTCCAAAGAAAGCTTTGAAGATATATTACCTGGAGGTCCGAGATCTTTTTGTTTACAACTCAGCAGCCATTTCCCCTTACAAAGTTAAATGCAAAAATCAAAGCATGCTTACAGATATGAACGTAATATATTTAAACAAAAAGCTATAAAAAAAAGTAAATTATAAGGTTTGGATTTCATGAAAAAATGAACAAGTTGACAACAGAGACAAATTATTTTCCCAATAAGAAGTTAATGTAAGAGAACTATATTAAAATAAAAATCAAGGACAAAAATAATAACTACAAAGGAGAGTCAAGAATATTCACAACAATGTACAACCTAGTGATTATTAGGTTTTTCACAAATCATACACACTGCTACAAAACGGTTCCATCACACTTGAAAAAAAATGCATACATTTCCACCTAAAAATTAGGTGCCTACTGAGACCTAAGATCATTACAAATGAAGGAGGCCCCGTGCCTCTGCTGTTCCGGTTTGCTTACTTTGAGAATTTCACAGTTTCTTATCTCTTCTGCTGATGGTTGGCTGAACTCTTCTGTCTCCTGCCCTACCATGGTATCACTCAGGTGCTGCTTTGGTTATACCCTACAAAAATAATTTCCCTTAGGAGATCCAAGAGGGCAACTGCCAATTACTGCAAAAGCAAAACAGAAATTGAAGAGAAATTTGACAAGCAGAGATGTGCCCAGAATAAAGAGAGGATGAAGAATAGAAGAAAAGAGCTCTAAAAATATAAAATTAGAAATATCTTCCACAAAAGAGAATATAAAAAATGTTTACAACATCAAATGGAAGTAATCTGAACTAGCACAAATTGGAATAGCTTATAATAAATGGAAAGAGACTGAAAAAGAAGCAATTTTGATACTATGTTAAAAAAATGCAGAAGAAGCTGGAAGCATGAAGAGATGCTAAAAAATGCTTCCATCCACTGGCAAGGATCCAACTCTTAACTACACTACAGATCCTCTATAATGTGCTACCAGTGAGAAGATGTCTTTGAGTAGGCAGGAATACATTTGCAGCCATTTTAAGGCACTTTATTATTGCTAGATTAGTTGAACTAGGCATTATCTTAAATGCAAACCCAGATTTTGATGTTGGTATCTTAACTTCCTAGCTTGTCTACACTCTGGAAATACAGATGACAGATTCAGAGAGACTACAGATGGGATATATTTGGGTCCCAACTTTGCAAGAATGAAAACTACAAGAAATACTATAGCAGGGAGTTACATTAATAGGTAAACAGTGTACTTAAGAGGGGAAACAGCAAGTTGCTGGACACACATCAGTTATACAATATGATTTTATCTGATCAGTTAATCTGAAAGCTAAACCTTCAAAAGTGGAAAAAGCAGGGTTTCTTCACTTAAGTGATGAAGTGCTTGGAACAATGGAAATTTACCATGTGCCCAACAATTTGTCACTTCATAATGGTTCCTTCTTGGCCTTTCTCAAATGAAACAGCAACTTTCAGTCAAGTTTCACCTGAACATGTGTTTGTATTATTTCTTAAGAATTAATGTAAGTAGAAAGACTACATACTACGCGGGAACGCTCTCCCGCAAAGGCAGTCCTCCAGACCACTCTCAGGATATACTGGCACAACGGCACCCAGAGTCTGTATTGACAGTGTATGTCCATACTAACTTCATTCTCCATTGCTGTTATCTTTCCTGAACAATACATTGACACTCAAACAGCTATTCATTCTGTACAAAGACAAAGTACAAGGCTCTTTTGACGTACTGTGTGCCAAATAAAAGAAAGAGCGGACATTATAAAATGTTTGTTGCACAGCAGTAGCAATATCTGTCACACACACAAAAATGCCTGCAGTGGCAAGGACTTTGGATGAGGCCCCAAATTAAACATTTCAACGTGAATTATTCTATTATTAAATTAAACTAGCAGCCATGCAATGCAATCAGGAAAAAAAGAAAATAATTGTTTTTTAAAACTCTAATTTATTAAGGGAGACTCAGCAAATAACAACAGAATTTTTCAAAAATACCTTGTTCAGGTATTAGAAAATCCTATTAAAACTCGCCATAAATCCATTTAATAAGAGATACTAAGAACAGCAGCAAGAGGTGAAATGTAACAAAAATAAACAAGTCGCTGCTAATCCTTTTCCTGCACGAAAAGCTCAAGATGACCAAGTATCCTTCAGTTTTATTTCCCATAATTCGCTGATGTTCCTACTGCTCAATGTAAATTAACCAAAGAGTAGACTGGGGCATGGCAGGCTATTTCTGTGTGATACAACACTTTGTACCAGCTCACTACCCATGAATGCTGACAAAAGATAAACTATTTCAGTGTTGCATTGGTTTATCTTTTTTTACAGCTGACTGCACAAATAGAGATGGACAATGCCTAAAGTAGAATACAGTCTCTCTAATTATTTCACTAATATTTGCACCTTTTCCCTTGACTTTTCCCCATGCCATTTTAAAGCTATTATTTTCACTTTTGTCTCCAGCCAAGTTTCCATAAGGAGACATTCACGCATGCCAGAGCAGCAGTAAGGCAGTCAAAAGAGCAGCAACTTCAAAGAAGCGTTATAGAAAGTATCACAAACAAAAGTAACAGGGAGACAAGAAAAATTATAGCAGTGTTATTAACCTTTGTCCTCCAGTAAATAAGAGATAGCAGCCCAACTGAAAAGGACACCTGCTTTATAACAGTTTACAGTAGAAAATAAATTCCATTTCCTACCCTTTTTACTATTTCAAGGAAAAAGAAATTGATTTATTTGCTTGACACAAAAAACAGCCTTGCCAAAAAGCCCATACTTCCCCAGCACACTGCAGAGGCACAGCCCTCAGCACCTGGAGACAGGAACCACGCGTCCTTTTTATATAACTACTCTTGACTGCCTTGAAACATATCCATTCCTGGCTCTTTGGAAGAACAAATAGATAGGGTTACACCGCAGTGCTGCCTTCAATGCAAGTTTTTCCAGAGGAATACAGTTGGAAAAAAAGAAAAATCCTTTCCTGAGCTTACTCATATGCTCATAGAGCTCACTTCAAACTCTAGTGTTCTGTACATCTAATGTTTTATAACACGCTGATACAACTCCCAAGTTTAAAATATTGTAAACCACAAAAAAAAAATGCAGTGTATTAAACATAAATTTAATATGAAATCATGTTTCTTAATTTGTGCATGGATTGCATGTAATGTCATCAGTGTAAC